TCCAAATGCCAAAAGTTCAAACAAAGCTATCAAAGAAGCAAAACTTAATGTTGATCATAACCAATCAATGATGACGAGGACTACGACGACGACGACGTCGTCGTCGTTGTCGTCGTCGCCATCGTCGTTGCACTTTTTTGCTCAAAATGTATAGCCAAGAACACTTCATGATCTTACTAAATGCTTTTTTCTTCTTCTGTCCATGATGATTTTGCTGTTGTCGTCATAAACCTGTGCATTTTGGTGTGTTGAAATTACTGCAAACAGCAAAAAAAAAAATTGCTGACATCAAATTTAACTAGTAAAAGAAAACTTGGAAAGATTCGGGCAAAACACGAAAAAATTCTTCTAATAATTATCTTTCTCGTGCAAACAGCTATCCATTACTTTATTTTTGTTTCTTTCTTCTTCTTTCTTTGCAAAACTTTATCATCTCTTCAGAATCCGCACATGTTCAGTTTCAACGTATCACTGTAAAAGATCTATAAAAGATACAGACAATAGCGGGTGAAAGAAGCTTGAAGGCAGGTGGGAGGGGAAAGAAAGAAGAAAGGAGTAATCTTTTTCTGAGTATTGAAATCTGGAATTTAAACATTTTTCAGCTCAAAGATCAAAAACAAAAAAAACTTCATCTTACCGTTGATTCGTTATTTTTCCATTTTCTACCGCTGCTTCAGCAGGTATTTTTGCTTTTACCTTTTTTGCTGCTTCTAAGAAACAATAGCATAGCAAAAATTGCTTTTTTCAAAATTGTTGAAAAAAAAGCAATGAAAAACAAACAACAGTTTTTTTTTGGCAACTGAAAAATATTTTGCTTTTTAATCTGGTCAACAAATTTTTTTTTCAAATATAAAAAATAACAGTGATAATAACAATAAAATAGCTCACTTTCTGGGGTATTATAAAAAAAAAAAAAAAAAAAGATTTTTGCTGTCTGTTGTTGTTACTGGTCAAAACCTTAAAACGGGAGTGTAAACGTAATTGATTCTTCTCAACATAACTGCGTTTTTGTTGGTATGTGTAAACAAGAATCTTGCAAACCCAAACGATCAAAGTACTTCAGCATCACTTCTGTTGCTGTCTCCTTACTCCCCACTTCTCATCCCCGATGTCTCCATTATCTCTCCCTACATTTTCTTCCTCTACTTATTCTCCGCTTTCAAACTATCTTTACAATAAAAATAATAACACCAGGAAAAAATCCTCAAGAGAGGAAGAAAAGACGAAAAAAGGAAGAAAAAAATTGAAGAAATGAATTGATGGACGAGGAATGTTGCAAAACAGGACAATTTTAACGGTCGAAACTGCTACAGGAAGCATTTGGTTTGCACAATCGAAAAACGGCAGTAATAATGCGAAAACAGTTTTGCTGCTTTTCTGTCATCTTCATCCCACAGAATGGCATCAAGCACCGCAACTAAACCAATTGTTTTCTTTATCATTAATTTTTTTCCCCCATTCCCTCCACTTTTTCTTTACAACCACTATTCTACTGTTCCATCAATGATTTTGCATTATTCCTCTTCCTTCTAAATATTTATTGAACCATTTACTATCATCTAATAGATTTTTCAGTGCATCTGGATTACCCGTAAACAACTTCTTCCTGTCAAGCAATCATATATTCACTCAGCACTAGGGGCAGCGGTACTATCACCACCAGCGACAATACTAACGTTTGCATTGAATACATCAATGAAAAACCAGATACAACGATCCAGAAGAACGGAAATACAATTTGAAAACGAGCAATGATAATCAGTGCTTAGATTTCGCTTCCCAATGTTCGTAGTACCCGTTGAAGTGTTGTCGAGTAACAAACAAACAAAAAAATCACAGACACAGACACAGACAGACGCGCATAAAAACACTAAAGTTCTCGACGGCGGATAAAACGGAACAGTTTACCGGTTCGAGTAGACTAACTTTTCGTTTTATACGTTTCTCGGCTAAGCTTTTCAAATGTTTTAAATCATCTTGCAAAAAAAAGTAAGCAAAAAAGCAATAAATAGAAAAAAAAAATTAAAAAACAAAAATAAAATTTGGTTAATAATGGTGGTAACATCACATGAAGCTGAGATGATTTTCATGCTAATGTTACAGACTGTGGAAACCTAAAAGAAATAGATGATGTAAGCAAAATATTCCTTTCATCGGTTTCAAAAAGCCGATTACCGATGAAACGAGTAACAAACCGAACGTCTACTGCTCTTTTTTCCTTTTGCCTTTACCTATAAGCAAACTTTCAAAAGCATTGAAATGTTAAGCCTCTACTAACTAAAACAGTTTTATCAAATATTCCATTTGGTTATTTGGTCTATTTTTAACCCACCCATCTCGCCTCAAAAAAAAAAATTTCTTTTCTTTTCTGCATTTAATGTATGCAGACTTTTGAATAAAACAAAAAATCAACAACCAAATGTTTACAGTCATTATTACTGAATAATACCATTACGAAATAAACAATAATAGTCGCTGGTATTGTAGTTACTGTTTCTTTAGGACCATTGGTTGTTGTTGGTGACGGTTACACTAATATTATTAATGCTATTCTTATTGCTGAAGCAAAAGAACGTAGAACAGAAAAGAAATTTGCAAAGAAAAAATAAAAAAGAAAAAAGAAGAACAAAGTCCACAATAAATCTGTATTAAGAACGATGTGATGTTGTTGTTGCTGGTCAATCCATCATATGCAACATTTTTGACATTTGAATTCTGTTGTAGTTAATTGGTGGCTTCAATGATGACAATAAAAAAATGATCAGAAAACGAAAAGCATCAATTGAGCAGTTTACTTTGGCAGAAGACAAAGACAATGACGATCCGCTATAATCGTCAACACAGCGTTAATCTGTCCTACCCAGAATCCAATCGATGTGAGTGTGTACTTGTATATATCATACCAGTTGTCCATTCATTATCTCTTCTGTTATCCAAATAGCATCGTA